AATATATATATATATATATATATATATATATATATATATGAAGGAGTAATAACCGGAACAGCAATCTTCATGATCCGAATCAATAACACTGGTACATTTGGGAGCAGTATGTATAACAGAAGTTGTTGTTATACCACCATTATTCTTTTCTGCCAACATTGTTGTATAATATGTTGTTTCCATACTATATTGAATAGCCTAAAATTAAATATATCATATAATGAATAATTATCGAATATTTTTAAATAATTAAAAATTTTTTGAATTTCAAATAGTTCTATGATTTAATAATCATGTGTAATTACAATTCATCTTATCAGTAACAAATATATACATTGCTATTGATTATAAGTGATAAATTGATGTGAATAATTATGAAATATACAAAAATTACCTGAATAAGATATGGAATACCACATATATTTCTCATGACTTTTTCAGCTTTATCACGATCTAATATTTCCGAATTTTTACATTTATTAAATAGTCGTTGTCGATTAAATAATCGTTTTAAACATTGTGGCCATGTCATTAATGATTTTGGTCGTAATGTCCATAAAATCATCGAAATGATCAAACCAATAAAACCAAGACTTAAGAAGATTATCGTTGTAGAATTCAAACCATATTCAGTAGTTAATAATATCAATCCAAGCAGTAATATTATAGAACTTATTATTGATAACAGTAATGGTATCAACATTTTTTTTTTTTCAAATCTTCAACAATAATAACCATAAAATTTCATCACTAATTATCAGCCAAAACATCACTGAAAATTTTAATTTTATGTAAAAAAACTAATTTTAATTAACTAACAAAATGAAAAAAAAAGAAATTTATATTGTTTAGATTACTGAATACATCTCTGTTCTTGACAATTTTCTAATAGTGTAATTAAAAATTCAATTACATATCCCACACATCTTCCTAATCATACCTTCCTTTTTCAATTTATTATCAAATATAACTTAAATGTATCCTCAATGAAATCTCACCTAAATATTTTATCAATGATATAGAAGTGAACATTGATAATTTTATGTTTTGAAATATGATAGAATAAAACCAATGTTTCAGATAGTTTCAATAATTTTGTAGCTTAACAGTTTATTTGTGAATGTTTTTTTCAGAATCACCGTAATCATATCATTATCACAAGAGATGCTTTACTTTGAATTAATCAAGTTTTAGTTATTTAACGCTGAATTTTTACTGCATCATTTCTTTTTGCTTTAAAAATTCTGAATCTAACTTTAGCTATTTCTAAAAAAAAAAGTTGTAAACCAATTTTAAACTTCCCGATTATTGCGTTTTTTTTTTTTGGTCTCTTCTCTAAACAATGTGTGAATAGAAACTGTAATGTGATCTTATCAGAAATAGAATGTATAACAAAATATAAATGAAATATATGTTTTATGAAATAAATTTAAATCCTTAAAATTATGCTTTGATTTGTGAAATATTCAAATTGGCATCCATTTATGACAAACATAATATTTCGGTGAATATAACGAACAACAATCATTCGGACGAATTTCATAAATTTGAAAAGTATAAAAATTATAGAAATTAATAAAAATTTTATAATTTTTTCAAGTTAATAAAAATTTTATTTATAAAAATTATAGAAATTAAATTGGACTATTACTATTAAACTGTACTGTGATCTTATCAGGTTGTTGGCGTATTATCAGAAATAAGTTGGTGATATATGATGAAGCAGTGAGAAAAAAAAAGAAATGGATAAAAATTTGATAAATAAAAAGAACAATTATGTAAATATAATTTGTAATTACTTGCACTAATTATATCAGTACTAATATGATAATGATATCATCAATATCATTTATCTATTTGATATGTTTGTTGAAAAGAAATTTAAATTACACATATATGAAATGGCACTATCATGTTATCAGTTTTTTTTTTCTTTCTTTTTTTTTTGTATTTTAATAAATGCATTTCATTTATTTACTAGATTTGATTAATTATATGATAAAAGTCTCCGAAGGGAAATTTTTAATGATAACTAATCAGTGATTACTCTGTTTTTTTTTTGTGTTATTTATGCTCATAGCTAAAAGTATGAACGATTTCAGATGTTATGAAAAGCATTAATTTTAAAATTTAAAACATTTTAAAAAAAGGAAAGGGAAGAATTTGACTCGTTATGTGATGCAAATATGATTCAATGAAAGGAAATGATAAGCTTACTAGCATACATGAAAATTATTCCATTCATTTTAATAGTTCTATTTCAAATTCAATCAATATTAAAAAAAATATTAAAAAAAAGGTTTGATGTTGCCAATTTCGATGTTTTTTTTTTTATATTTTTTACTAATTAAATTTCGAATATTCATAAGTTTTCAGCTTATTCTCATTCTTATCATAAATGTTTTCTTATTTCAATTCCGTATGATAGATTTGAAATTTTATGTAAATCCTAATTTAATTGGTATAGTTCAAGGATTTAAAGATTCAACGATTCGAAGATATCACTTTAAAGATTAAAGATTTATTCAAAAAATTCTACGAATTAATTTTCATTTATGATATAATTTAAATTGAAGAAAAGGTAAACAAATAAAATCTTGAGAGAAAATTTTGCCAACTATTAGAATGTTGGGAAAAATGGGAAATGATAAATTAAATGTTCCGATAAGAAATTATACAGTAATTCATGATCTGTGCTGGAACAACCCAGAAATTTTCGATATATTCTTGATAAAATCTACTACAGTTATCGAGACTAGCCAATGTACCTGCAATATTTGTCATGTGATTGGGAGTTATTTTAAAGGAGTCATACGATTTCAGATCACGCCCTTATCATTCATATTTATAAAATAATGACAATCAGTGATATGGATGTTGCGTTATAACAGAAATTTATATTCCAGTAATTTTCAAAGAAAAAAAATTATGTCAGTTATCATAAAGATTTCATTAAAATAAAATATGTTCTTTTATCATTTAATTGAAAGATATTACTTTCTCGTTAATTTGTTAATGCACTGAATTAGGACAATTACAAGGAATGCTATTAGTGAAATGTTTCAGTATTAAACTTTCAAACCTCTTAAATTAATCAATTTAATTTAGGCATGCCGATGATTTAAACTATCACTATCATTGTTGTTTCATTTTTTGATAACATATATCTTGAATGTAAACCGAAATTGCCCAATCATTCTCCCTACTTCTGTGGCATTCAAAATGACTTTTAAATTTGTTAAAAGATGAAAATATAAGCCAAAAAAAAAGAGCAAATTTGTGAGTAATTCATACAAAGATAAAATGGATTTCAGTATTGGTAGCAGATGGTTAAAATTGACAACAGCGCCGTAAAATAAAGACAAAAAAAAAAAAACAAATTCATTAAATAACTTTCCATTCTGGTGACATCTAATTTAATTTTCTATCCATTACTGCATTACTGATAATTTGACAATTGATATTTCAGAATGTAGGAAATCGATGCTTGTATATAATACGGAAACAGATCAACAACAATAATTTGTAAACATTACTACCTTGAAGATATTAATTAGATCTAATTGTTCAATGATAGTAACAGGTGATTAATATTAATTAAATCTAATTGTTCAATGATAGTAACAGGTGGTTAATATTAATTAAATCTAATTGTTCAATGATGGTAACAGGTGATTAAAATTGAGAACAGCACCGTCTTGATATTTTTCTTTTTTAAAATTTCGCATTGCTGATTTTAAATTTAAACAGACAAAAAAAAAAAAGTATGATAAGATGAGGGCTATAAGGTCAAAGAAGTAATTTTTTTGAGGTTTTTTTTTTCTTTTTTTTTCAGAAAACCAAATCTAACACTTGAAATGGAAAAGGGCGATGTAAGGGCAAAAACAGGGAGGAAGTAGAAATGATGTAGAAAAGATGAAGTAAAAGGTGGCCTCATTTTATTTATGTATCATTTGTTCCTAGTCTCCTTATCTTTCTCTTCACTACATCTATCAATTATAAGAAGCTAAAAGGAAGAAAAAAAAAAAAGGAAAAAAGTAAAAAAGAGCCTTGTTTATTTGCTAGGCTTCATGAAATGAATGTTTTATGCCTAGCTACAATAATCGACGCTAAATTATTCGCTCTAAAACTAACCTTTTTCTTTTTTTTTTTGCTTTCTCTACCTTTTCTCTTTGTCTTTTTTTCCATTTCATTTACACTTTCTTCTTTTCGGAATATCTTTCAAAGTTTTACTTTAATGAAGGAATTAACTTTGAACTTTTCTTATTCAGTTTTTTTTTCAGGAAGGAAACTTTGCTTAAAAAGTAATTGATATGATTCCGTGATAGTGGAAAATCATTCATCATTTTATATATATGTTTGATAGAAAATATTATCCATTCAGTTAAATTTTTGAAATGAGATCAATCTTTAGGGATCAGAATAAATGATTTGAATCGTTTGAAAGATATATTTAGGGAATATCAATGTTACATTTAAAGAATTTTTTTTGTTTAGTTAAGCAAAAATTAAAATAAAACTTCAGCATACGGATGATATTTTAAAAATTTATCAAATTCTTTGCTAGGGAAAGTAGGCATAATTGATATAAGTGGTACAGAGAAGGAATGAACAGGAATACATATATATATTAAAAATTAATACTATAATTTTGGAATATACGGTAAGAGAACATTAAATGTGTAGAAGGGATACCCGAGAGGTATTGATTATTTTTATATCTTTATAGTCATTAGTCAATCATGCTCATTATACCAATGACACTAATATGGGTTGTAAGCAATCAATAATATGACATTCGTTTCGATAAATTCATTCATTTAATCAGAAAATTTAATATTACGTGCTAATCCGTTATTAATATGCTCAATGGCAGCTAATTAAAAATATAAATTTATAAAAACCAATTAGAAATGTTTACACAAATTCTAAGTTATGAAAATAATTTTTTTAAATTAAAAAAATTTAATTTAGAATTTGTGTTAAGACTTCTAATTGGTATTTAGAGAAGTGTTTATGAACATTCCTATAAGCAAATATATCACAAAAAAAAAGAAATTACTGAGAATTTCAAGTTGAAGATCAGCTGATAGCAATTTGTAAGCAATTACTGTAATAATTATTCAAATTATCTGTTCATTCAGTGTTAAGCTTTTCTTATGGTAGAAGTAAGTGATATTGCATCGGAAGGCATGTATGTTTCACGTTGCAAAACCAATACCTGTCATCACGTGACAGTATGTTCAAGATTTGCTGTTGGAAATTTCTATGGAATGATATCCGATTCATTTAACTCATACTATTTCCATTTCAAAGTCAAATGAATAAAAGAGATAGTGGAAGTGAGAAGATCGCGATTTAATCTGATATTATTGTGAAGATTAAAAGTTTAGAGATTATTTACAGCTAATATTAATAATAATTAATAATTAATAATAATAATAATGATAACAATAATAGTAATAATAACAATAATAATAGTAATTAACAATAATAATAATTGATAATAATAATTAATAATAATAATAATAATAATAATAATAATAATAATAATAATAATAATAA